TGCCAGTTTTTTTAACATGGTTATATAATTTTCCTACCAATCAGCACTGTAATAGTTATATATGTACATTTATTGTTCCTCTAGTTACAGCTACCGTCAATCTTCTAAATTTTAGCCATTTTCATAGATACGTGATGGCATCCCATTATGATGACTAGTGATGTTAAGTATCTTTCCATATGTTTAGTGGCTATTCTTGAATCTTATTAAAGCCAATTGAAGATTTTCACCCCATTTTTATTAGCTTTGTCTTCTATCATTGAGCTGAAGTGGTTTTTATACAGTCTGAATACAAGTCCTTTGTCAGCTACATGTACTGGGATTATTTTCTCCCAGTCTGTTCTTTTCTTCATGTTCTCTTTTGATTTGAGCGTTAGTTTTTAACTTTGATTAGGTTCAATTTATCAATGTTTCTTCTCATGATGGTGCTTGCTGTCTCCTGTCTTTCCCAAAGTTGTAAAGATATCCCACTGTTTTCTCCTTTTTCTATAATTTTATTTCATTTATTTCTCGCTGTGCTGGGTCTTTGCTGCTATTCAGGCTTTTCTCCAGTTTCAGTGAGTGGGGGCTACTCTTCATTGTGGTGCACACGTTTCTCATTGTGGTTTCTCTTGTTGTTGGGCATGGGCTCTCGGGTGCACGGGCTTCAGCAGTTGCAGTTAATGGGCTTGAGAGCACAGGCTCAATAGTTGTGGCTCACTGGTTTAGCTGCTCTGTGACATGTGGGATCTTCCCGGATCAGGGATCAAACCCATGTCTCCTGCACTGGCACACAGATTCTTTACCACTGAGTCACCAGGGAAGCCGTCCACTATGTTTTCTTGTAGAAGCATTATAGTCTTAACTTTTAGTTTAGTTTAGGATCCACACCTTTCATTAATATCTGGGTATGATGTGAGGGAGGGATCGAGTTCAGCTTTTCCATATGGATATTATTCTAACACCACTTGTTATAAAGACTCTTCATTTCTAATGGTGTTCCTTTGGTGCTACTGCCAAACACCAGCTGGTTGTACACTATTTCTAAACTCTCCATTCTTTTCCATTTATTTGTTTATATATCCTTATACCAGTACCATGCTCTTAATTATTATGGTTTTAGACTGAGTCTTAAAGTCAGTCTTCTAATTGTTAGAGCATAAGTCCTCTAATTAGAGCTTAAGTCCTCTGATTGTTGTCTCCTTTTTCATGATTGCTTTCAGCTACTCTAGGTCCTCTGAATTTTCATATATGTTTTAGAATCAGCATGTTGATTTCCACCAAAACAAGTCTAATGGGATCTTAACTGGATTTTTACTTGACTGAGTCTGTAGAGAAGCGGTTCACAAAGTACAGGCTCTGGATCAGCAGCATTAGTTAGCATCACCAGGGAACGTGCTATAAACGCAAATATTCAGGCCTTACTCCAGACTTTGTGGATCAAAAACTCTGGGGAAGAGGTCCTGCAATTTGTGTTATAATAAGGCTTCTCTGTAACTGATGCATGACAAAGTGTTAAGAATTACTGCTGCAAATCAGTAGGTTTTGGGAGAACTAACACCTTAGCAATATTAAATATTCCAATCAATGAACAGATATATCTCCCCATTAATTTAGGTCTTCCTTAATTTCTCTTACCAAGGTTTTATAGTTTTAAGTCTACATGTCTTGCATATAGTTTGTTAAATTTACATCAGGGTATTTTATGCTTTCTAATGCTACTATAAATGGTAATTCTAATTGCTACTGGCTACCTTCAGCCATGAGCCTGGGAGGCTACAGTCTATGGGGCTGCAAAAGAGTTGGACATGACTTAGTGACTAAATAACAAACCTTTAGCCACAGCCTATATGATATGGCAGAAGTCTATTTGGGGGTGGGAGTTCACTAACAGATTTGGAAAAAAAGTAGAGAACTCAAATTACTGGCAGCATCTTAAAAAACTAGTTTCAAAAGCTATGCATTAACAGGAGGTTGTTTCCAATGAATTGACCAAACATATTAAGCATGAGCATCTACAAAGATCACAAAAAGAAGGACAACCCGACACAACACTCTCCTGTAGTCTTGCCAAACACTTTATACATTCTTGACAAAAAGATCAAACATCAATATCTAGCTGCTAGATCCAGCTGCCAATTTGGAAGACAGAGGAACAGGAGAACATGTTGGATTACGCAGAGAACATGCGTGCGTGCATGCTAAGTCACTTCAGTTTTGTCCAACTCTTTGAGACCCTTTGGACTGTAGCCCACCAGGCTCCTCTGTCCATGGGATTCTCCAGGCAAGAATACTGGAGTGGATTGTCATGCCCTCTTCCAGGGGACTCTTCCCAACCCAGGGGTCAAACCCACATCTCTTATGTCTCCTGTATTGATAGGCAGGTTCTTTACCACTAGCATCACCTGGGAAGCCTACACAGACAGCATAAGATTAGCAAAATCTAGACTGTGGCAAACTTTGGGTGGGTTTTTCAATAGATAAACCTGTCAGGAAATAAAAGGGATGGAGGAAGAACATATCAACTGACAGAGACTTAAGTATGAAGTTTTTACAAAACAGGCCAAGTCTAAACTATAGTGTACATTTGGTTGAGAAGAAAGATTATTTAAACCTGTGAGGAAATGGTTACTACAAAAGTCAGGGTTCCAGGTTGCTTTTGTGGGTAGGAAGGAGGTTGTATTGATATGGGGCATATGAGTAGCTGGCAAAGTTATATTTCTTGATTTGGGTGGAATTTGCCTTATGATAACCTATTATATTATATTTGCCTTATAATAAACCTTATAATTAAACAATCCCATTTAATTCTTGTGGTTTTCTGTATACATGCCTTATTTTTCTTGTAAATGGGTTTTTCCTCTCCCTTAATATATGTAGAATCTGGGATTGAAAAGTTTGTAAGCTGTCATGGTAGAATGGTGTTTGGTGATGATATGAACTAAGGTGTGGTTATGGAAGCAGTTGTTCTTTGAGCTAGGCATACAGGTGTGAGGACAAAGTCAAAGAATTAGACAGTGACAAAAAAAAATGGAAGTCTGGTTTTAATCTCTGCCATCAGTGTGGGAGAGTGCCCTGGACACTAGCAAAGATAAAAATGATGAACAGGTTGAAAGACATCTACTTAGATTGCAAAGGTACTACACTCTCCTGGGCCCACAATATGGAAGAATATTTTAGAAACGATAGGGGAAAGATCCTACTTTCTTTCTATGCCTTGTAGGAAAATGGGCACAATCCACTTCAAGGAAAGAAGAGACTCACTATGTTTTAGACACAGGTAGATTTTAGTAGAGGTTCTGTGGTAGAGAAAATTCCTAGAACAATATTAAATCTGAATGGTAATTTGCTATAAAAAAAATGGAAAGTCCTGAAACACAATGGAAAGGATCAGGAGGGAGAGAAAAGGACGTGTGTGTGTATTGGGGGCCCACACACCTGGGGGCTCTTCTGTATAAAGAACACTGCAATTAATAGTATATTTGACAAGAGGAAACAGAGGGCTCCTTTTCAGATATTTGAGAATGTGAGCACCATGGACGGAATGACTCGGTCTCACTGTTTTAACTGGAGCTTGTCTGAGATGACGGGATTACCTAACCTTTACAGGAGTGGTGACTTAGGCCTGATAATTGCAGTTACTCCCATCTAATCACTTTACACGTATCAATGTTTCCATGAAAGAAGGCTTCCAAAGTCCTGAGGATAGAAGCAGCCATCCTTACCACTGGAAACCACAGAAGATACTTCTGCATACTGGATCACATTGATTTTTTTCCCACTTTTATTCAGAGTAGGACAAGGCCAAGGTGGAAGCAACATATAAAGCTAGAAATAGGCTTAGTAATATGCTCACTTAGACCTTGGTCAGACAAACACTGATAGGGTCAGTCCAGGAAGTATGGAACAGTAAAGACAGGTATGCTAATTTACAGGTTATCCTAAATTCTGCCTTGGAGTACCCACCTCTTAAAAAGTGTGGCCTGAGTATTTGAACTCATTTATGTTGTCAACAAGGTTTGTGATAGGGAGGGAAAAGAAGAATCCTCAATAGTAGAAGAACAGGAATAGGCAGTATATTAATGAATTTGAAAACTTGCGAAATACACTTATCTCTTATAAATATTTTGCTACTGTTTTAAAATAAAAATTATGAAATAATTGTTTTTAAATTATGAAATAAGCATGTTTTTTTCTTTTTTAAAAATCTATTTTCAGTTGAAGGATAATTGCTTTACAATATTGTGCTGGTTTCTGCCATTGAAATAACCATGTTTTAAAAACATATATACCACAGCTTTGCTACGTTTTTCATTCTGCATACCACCAAAATTATGCTTCTAAAGCTTTTATTTTGGCCGCTCCATGTAGCTTGCAGGATCTTAGTTCACCAATCAGGAATAGAACCCAGGCCCTGGTCAGTGAAAAAGTGAAGTCCTAACCACTGGACCACCAGGGAATTCCCTATGTTTGTAAAGTTTTAAATACAAATTCAACTATTAGTTACTGAGTGCTACCTATTACCTGTTAATTATACATTTTAAAGTTTCTTCAGCTACCTGATGGCATTAAATTTACATACAAGTTACAAAATTTTATAGTTTTATATAAAATTAAGGGCAAAATAAACAGCATGATTTGGATAGGACCAAGAGATTCAGTGTTTCTCAACTTTTCCACCAAAGCATCCATATGAGAACAGAGAACTCCCAGAGGCCAGGGAAATGTTCTGATGCAAGCTGCTCTAAGTCCAAACATCCTCTAAAGTATTTTTATTTTGTTTTAAATTTTTATCACTTCATTTAAAATTTTATATAAATTTTATGTTATATTCCATGATTTTTACATTTATTTTATTATAAAAATGTTTGAAATTATTTTCTATGGAGTAAAATTAACATTTTGGAGAGGTGGCATCACATATGTTTTAGAGGTTTCAAGTATCTCTGAGAGTACAAACTCTCAACTGAGAAGCACAGCATTACAGACACATATTTGAATATTTTCTTGTGTATTCTTACCTCCATAGTAGGCGGAGTCTTTCTTGTTTTTCTGATCCAAGCTAGAAAGAAAAATAATAACTAAATGTAAGTTTTCTATAAACTGCACAAACATTTTATTTACTCACGCATGAAACAAATATGTATTAAGCACCTGCTATACATTGTTTTAGGGCTTCCCAGGTGGTGCTAATGGTAAAGAACCCGCCTGCCAATGCAGGAGTCATAAGAGACATGGCTTCGATCCTTGAATCAAGACGATCCCCCAGAGGACGGCATGGCAGCCCACTCCAGTATTCTTGCCTGGAGAACCCCATGGAAACAGGAGCCTGGCAGGCTACAGTCCATAGGGTCGCAGAGTCAGACACGACTGAACAACTTAGCACGCATGCATGTTTCAGGCACTAGAGATACAACAGGGAACCAAACGTGTTCCCTCCTCTTCTGGAGCATATATACTCGTGAAGGGCCACAGAAAGAATCACCAAAACACATGTCAGGTAATGATCTGTGTCATAAAAAATACTTGAGTGTGAGGAGACTGTCGAGGGGATAGTTTCATAACCAAAATCATACCTCATAAGCATCTGAATTCAATTTAGTGTAAATAAGGGCATATAGGCCAAATTATAATGCAGTAAATGACATTAAACTTATCCTGGTAATGCTAACCAATTATTGCTCAATATATAAAAGAATGGATGGAGAAAAGTTTTCATTTTCAGAGACTTGTAATCTGTTGTAGCAAGCAGTCTATCTCCTACGGTTGGTATAAGAGGCCTTAAGCTCCAACACTTGGGAGATGAGATGCACAGCAGAAGAGTTCATACTTGTTAAGTGCCTACTGGACACGGGGCACTGCGTTAGATGCTATTAGCAACAGGAAGGGAGTGGAGGCGGCTGCCTCTGAGGGAGTGTGTCAGAATCACAAGAAGACATGTGATACAGTGCTTAGAGGAGCAGAGGCAGAATTTGGGGGTTCAAATCCCCACTTAAGTGCTTACTAGCTGTGTAACCTGAGGCAAATTATTTAAATTTCTACACATCAGATTCCTCATCTATAAAATTATAATAATAGTGTCTACATTTTAAGATTATTGTGAAAGTTATATGAAATAATATATATAAATTCTTAGCTCAGAGTCTGGCATACAGTAAACATAAAAGTCTAAGTTTTTACTATTTTTCAATAAACCTGTATTTTTTTTTTTATAACAGATTCTGAAAAACAAAGATCAACAAAACTTGCTTGACTTATGAGGACATATGCTGATATACTACAAGGAATATGGTCTTTGAAAAGTAGAAACTATTTTATCATTTAGTTGGTTCAATCTTCATTACAAAATTGTGAAGAATGCTTATTTTATAGAAAAATTAAATAACTTCCCCAAGTTTACACATTAAATAGTAATGGTGGAATTTGAATCCAGATCTGACCCTGTCTCTGGCCGCAAAAACCATCCGTGCTCTACAAAGCAGTTTCTCAAAGTTCATAAGCGACAAGCAAGGAACGCTAAACTAGGAAGAGGAATAGGTCACAACACTAACTACATATCAGAAACTAAGCATTATTAACCCCATCTCAAAGATTGGGAAACTGAGGTTCAGGAAGATGAAGCAACTTGCCAAAACTCACATATCTGGCAGGTAAGAGACAGAGAATCAAATGCTGGTTTAACTGGCTCTAAAGTCTGAGCTCTGTCCATTCACCAGCCACCTTCTCTTCTGACAGGTTAGCTCCAGTAGCCTGCCTGCTCCAAGTAATAGTAGCAGGACCCACTCTCATGACAAGCCCAGTAGTGAATGACTGTGAGGGAGGAGAGAGTGGGCCTGTGACTGGTTATTTCTCCCTGTTCTGTTCGCTCTGGCACTAACCCCATACATGTATTTTCAATACAGTACCCAGTGTTTTGCCTTCTCTATTCGTGTTTCTGAACTTCTATCCCCGTTGTTATCATCTGCATTCTCTTCTTTTTGGCTTCCACCTCTATTTAGTTCATTTTTAGCCATAACTTGCACAGATTTTATATTCCTTTCTAGGCTGGAAGTTTGTCAAAGGCAGGATGTATCCATGGGAGATAATTTATCTACTACCTAAATACTTTGAAAGAGTAGGTACTTAAATGCAGTTGTTGAATGAGTACTCCCACTATAAAAATATTCACTGTAATGGGATTTTGACCTGTATTAAAAAAAAATTCAGCTTAGCAATATCAAGATTCTTCTGCACAATCAAGGAAATAAGTAAGCTATGGAATTTTTCAACTGCCTCTTTATGGTCAAAATATTGTCTAGGAAATATTTTCTCCCTAGGAAAGAGACTGCATTTAAAATAATTCACTATGAGCCATGTACCTTAAAATGTTTTAAGCAATAAATATTCAGTTCTGATTTAGATTAGAAAGTTAATTCAGAAAAATCAACTGCTGGAGGGGGGCATTGACAAACTATAGACTGCAAGCAAAATTGTAACTCATGGATTGCTTTTTGTTTTTTATTTTAATGGCTGAAAAAATAACCAACAAAGAACAATATTTCATGACAGATGAAAATTACACAGAATTCAAATTTCAGTGTCTGTAAATAAGGTTTTACTGGAACACAGTCATACTTATTTATTTACATATCTATTATAACTTGTGCTACACTGGCAGAGATGAGTAAGCTGTAACAAAGACCATATGGCCTGCAAAGTCTAAAATATTTAGCATCTGGCCCTTTAAGGAAAAGTTTGTCAACTTCTGTGCTAGGGCTACCATTAAGTATAATCCTTTTAGCAACAATTATATATCTTGATTTAAAAACACTTTCACATATTATAAAAAATAAAAGTCATTATTATTACACTTTTTTCACTTTGCTGTCAACCTGCATCTAACACAATATTGTAAATCAACTATACTCCAATAAACATTAAAAAACAAAACAAAACAAAATCCCCCAAAATGATTACACTTTTTATCTGATTGCTATGTATTCCAGAGTCTGTGAACACTAACACGGACATTAGATCATCCAAAAAAGTATAATGGCACAATAACGCACTGTCACTATGAGAAAAACAACAGTTTGTCTTACTGATGAGTCTATCAAACAGAATTTTCGATTTTTTTTTCCATAAGGTTGAGAAAAGAAAAAGTACTTCAGTAGAATCCAAATCCAACAATCCAAAATTTTTTACAGATTTATTTATTTATTTGTGGCTGCACCGGGTCTTCATGGCTGCATGCGGGCTTTCTCCAGTTACGACAAACAGGGGCTACTCTCTAGCTGTGATGTGCAAGCTTCTCATTGTGCGGGCTTCTCTTGTTGCTGAGCACAGGCTCCAGGTGCACGGGCTTCAGCAGTTGTGGCTCGCAGGCTCTAGAGTGCGGGCTCAGTAGCTGTGGTACACAGGCTTAGTCATCCTGTGACATGTGGGAATCTTCCAGGACCAGGGATTAAACCTGTGTCCCCAGCAGTAGCAAGCGGACTCTTAACCACTGGATCACCTGGGAGACCCTCAAATAATTTTTTTTTTAATTCCAAGGTAGATGAATAGGTTGAAGAAACTCTGATATGTGTTTTTCTAAACCCTACTGGTTTTGTATGAGTTTATAAAATTCATTCATAGATATAATATTAAGGTAATATATTAATACAACCTAGACTATTTATTCTCATGAGACACTGTTTTCTAAGGAAAGATATCAGGGCTTCCTTTAACTTTGTTTTAAATGGTTCAAGGAAAAGAGATTTTTATTTAGATAGATACATGCAGTTTCTGAAATAAATAATCCTACAATATTTATAATTCTACAATAACCAGATACTTGAAATGTCTTCTTGAGATGATGGTTGATGCCTGTTCAGTGTTATGTATCCAATAAAGGTTACAGCTGGAAATTTTCAATGTTATCACTCATTTATATAATCATCCCTCGTTTCCCAATCCTACATACAGCAAAGGAAATGTCTTGCTGAAGGCTGGCAAAGGTTATAAGGAGGAAGGAACAGAAATAAGCACTAATATCAAATCATTACATTTCTTTTTTTTAAACTCAGAACAATCTGGAACTGAACCTCTGTTCAATTATAAATTATATAATGATTTTGCCATTGCTAATTATGTTTGTATGATGGATTCTGTATCAGTCTTCATTATAATGTAACTATTGCTTGAACAGAGTATAGCAAGATAACTGGACAGTTTCTGCCTTAAGATCCTCACGTTCTTTCAGCAATGTTCATTGGTATTCTCATCAGTATGCATGAAGTTTTCACTGAACTTTAATACTCTTACTGGAATATAACACACTATAATGAGTGTAAAAGTGAACATGCAAGTTGAAGTTCCCATTACCCACTAAAAAAGTCTAGAAGATGCAGGCAGGAAAATACTTCATGAAGCACACCTTCTTCAAAATTCTGTAAGAACTGAAAATGGCTAATACACTTTTATAAGTAGTATCAGCATGGGCTGAGGTAAATGAGACATTTATCACTAGATTCAGCAGGTGACCATTCAGAACGAAATTATAGGTTGACACACCATAAAGAACTTATAAAAAAAAAAATCTGTATAAACTGTATAAAAAAAATTTTAAAAAGACATGTTTAACTACAAAAATTCTTCAAATATATTATAAAATGAGTTATTTTCTAATTATTGACTCTAAAAAGTTTCTTAAGGATATTATTAGATTTAGTTGGCATAATTTACAAATTTTGTGATGTTCATGGCTATTATTGTTCTTTTTCCTTAATCAACTTTATTGAGGTATAATTTACATACAATACAGTAAAACCATTTTAAGTGTGTAACTCCACGAGTTCTGACAAGTGTACACAACTGTGTGACTAGCACCACAATCAATGTATAGAATATATCATCACCCTAAAAGTTCCCAAGTGTCTGACTACATGCAAACACCCACCTTAACTCACCCATAGCCCCCAACAAGTGGTGCTTTCTGTCACTGTTGATTACTTTTGCTTATCTACAATTTCATATAAGTGGAATCTTACATACTCTTTTGTACTCAACATAATGTTCCTCTGCTACTGTATACAGAAGGCA